CACACACACACACACACCCTTCAGTCCCTTACTGAATACCTGAACTCTGTGGTTCTACAGATTGTACCTTGGTAATCACTGACTTAACAACTAACACCCACACATAAGCAAATATATACCATGTTTGTCTTTCTGAGTCTGGATACCTCACTCAGGATAATTTTTTTTCTAGTTCCATTCATTTATCTGAGAATTCCATGATTTCGTTATTTTTTCAAGGCTGAATTTAAATTTTTTTCTACATTTCCACATTTTTTTAATCCATTCTTCTGTTGAGGGGCATTTAGGTTGTTTCCAATTTCTGGCTATTATGAATAGAGCAATAATGAAGAGGGTTGAACAAGTGTCTCTGTGGCATGGTGAAGTGTCCTTTGGGTATATACCCAAGAAAGGTATAGCTGGATTTTGAGGTAGATCAATTCCCATCTTTCTGAGGAACCACCGCACTGATCTCCATAGTAGCTGTACATGTTTACACTCCCACCAACCACGGAGAAGTGTTCCCCTTATTCCACATCCTTACCAGCATGAGCTGTCATTTGCTTTATTGGTCTTAGCCATTCTGACTGGTATAAGATGAAATATCAATGTAGTTTTGATTTTCATTTCCCTGATGACTAAGGATGTTGAACATTTCTTTGAGTGTTTCTCAATCATTTGAAATTCCTCAGTTCAGATCTGTGCTTCATTTTTTAACTAGATTATTTGTTTTCTTGAGATCCAGTTTTTTGAGTTCTTTATATATTTTGGATATTAGCCCTCTATCAGATGTGTAGTTGTTAAAAATCTTTTCCAGTCTGTAGGCTGCTACATTGTCCAAATGATGATGTCCTTTACCTTACAAAAGTTTTTCATGAGGTCCCATTTATCAGTTGTTGATCTTAGTGCCTATACTAACAGTGTTCTGTTCAGAAAGTCTTTTCCTGTGCCAATGAGTTCAACACTATTTCCCACTTTCTCTTCTATCAGGATCAGTGTATCTGGTTTTGTGTTGACGTTCTTTGATCCATTTGGAGTTGAGTTTGTGCAGGACAATAAATATGTATCTGTTTGGATTCTTCTATATGCACCCATTCAGTTTGACACGAACCATTTGTTGAAGATACTGTCTTTTATCTAGTGTGTATTTCTGGCTTCTTTATCAAAAATCAGGGGTCCATCGGTGTGACAATGTGTATCTTAATATAGGAATGAGATGAGAAAGAAAAATGCATTTGCAAAGACAAGAAATATGCCAGATGTTGGGTGCGCCTGTAATCTCAGCACGGAAGCAGGAAACAAAAGAGTCTGAAGCTGGCTAAAATGCAAGAGACAGTGGGAAGGAGGGAGAATAGGAATGAAAGAATGAGGAAAAGGGGAAGGGAACAAAAATACCATAGCTTTAGAGAAAAGCATCTAAGAAGCTGCAAGTAGTAGTCGGTGTGTAAGCAATGGTGTGACGTGACAGGCAGCCAGCATCTCTCCAGACACTCCACCTTCTTCTGTGACCTCTGTGCCTTTTAGATATTTTTGAGACCTCTGCTGAAATGCAAGACTGACTCTCTTGTCCTCAGAGAATGGCTGGCAGATACTTCAGCTCTTGGAGTGCACGTGTGTGTGCGTGTACATGCATGCGTTCATGTTCAAAGCAAGGGAATCAGGTCTCTCTCTCTCTCTCTCTCTCTCTCTCTCTCTCACACACACACACACACACACACACACACACACACAGCAGGAAGAACTTGGGGCTTACTGCAGCTGTTAAAAATCAAACCAATCAAAAGATATTCAGAGAGTTAGAATTTGCATCTTATGTAGCCTAGGCTACCCTTGAACTCCTTCTCCTCTCTGAACCTGTGATGATCCTCCTGTCTCAGTTTCCTAAGTGAGAGTTACCAGAACTTAAGTTAAAGCTTTTAAATTAACTGGAGTTGGGGGGTGGGGGTGGTGAATTGCTAAAACAATAAAACATTGATGTTTCATCCAGTTCAGCCTGGAATCCACAGGCTGCTAGGGAGCCCCTCAAGTGGTTGCCCTGTGAATGGGCCCAGGCGGGACAACTGAGCAGGTAGCAATGTAGAAACAAGCTGCAGAGTGCTAGGGAGATGCGTCAGTCGGTAAAGAGCCCGTCATGGAAGCTTGATTTCCTGAGTGCGGGTCCCAAGCACATACACACACACAAAGCCATAGTCAGCGCTGTGCATCTGCAGCCCGCCCCCCCCCCCCCGAAAGGCCAAGACAGCAGGTTCCCGGGGCTTCCGGTCCTGTCATTCTTTTCCAATAAGTTAAGATCTAGGTTCAGTGAGAGATCTTGTTTCAAAAAAAAAAAGTATACAGGGCTTGGGAGACGGTTTAGTGAGTAAAAGACTTCTCACACAAGCCTGCTTCCCAGAGTCCGTATGTTTAAAAAGCCAGACGCAGTAGAACACACACATAACCTTAGTGTATCCACACCGGCAGATGGAAGGCGGGGTCAAGAGAATTGGGAGCTCATAGAGCAGATAGCCTGGTTGTACACAGCGGTGGACGATAATAAATGTCTCCAACCAGGTAGATGGGGAGGACCGGCAGCCAAGGCTATCTGTCCCCTGATCTGCACATGAATGTCATGGCATTCTCATGCCCCTAACCATACACTTAACTAATTAATTAATTAAAGGAAAACGCCTAAGGAAGATACCCAGTGTTGAGCTCTACATGCACACATGTACATGAGCGCACACACACACACACACACACACACACACACACACACACACACACAAGAGGGAAAGGAAGAAGGGAGAGAGGGAAGGTATAGGATAGGAATGGAAAGGTGGGGGGAAAGCCTGAGAAAATACAAGAGGCAAAGGGAAGAGTGTAGATTTGCTGAAAAGCCGACAGATCCACTGCCCTTGAGGTGACGGACGAGTAAAAGAACAAAGTTCAACTAAAAGATGGCTGTTCTGTTCTCCAAATGGATGGTCTGCCAATAGACCCTAGACATGATGGCCTACCGGAAAATATTTTTAAATATTAAACTGAAATATTGTTGGACATGTCAGGCCATCTGACTTGACTTCACAGTTTTTCCTCTCTCCAAATCACTTTCCCACTGCATGAGGAGACATCTACTGTGTTGTGATAAAAGAGATAGCAGCCGGTCCACGATTTTTTTCTGTCGGGGCACAGATTACATACTCTGGGATGGCCACATTAGCATCTCACCCAGTGAGATGTGCTTCCAGTCACTGTGATAACCCAGGGAAACCAGGCAGTCTAAAATGCAAAGCTGATGGGAAGGGTGGAGTTTGCAAAAGGAAGTAATTAAACTCATTAGTCAAAAGCAGAGAGGGAGAGAAAGCAAGCCCAGCCAATCACTCATTAGACTAGGAAGCATTTCTTTTAAATGGGAGGATATCACAAGGCTGACAGTTAAAAATGGCATTAATTTTTATGTAGTAAGGGTCAGCACCACAGTCAAGGACACTCCAGTCCCAAGGATGCTCTGGAAATCTCCACCACGTCACAGCTTGCAGCTCCTGAATGCCATCAGCAAATCCCTTGACTTATCTCTTTACACTTGGTTTGTGCATTTTGTTACCAAGCTGAGCACCTGACGGGTGGGTGAGTACAAATTATACAGTGTATGGGTAATTTTCTTCCTGGACCGATAAAGTCTATTTATAGAGTGTTCTGGAGCTACACTGACCCACAGGCTGGAGTGGAATTCTACACCCGCCTGCCTCAGCCTCCCTAGGGCTGGAAGAATATACCTAACTCAGAAATTAAATCTGTGTATGGGACAGCATACCTGTTCGTGCAAGTAAGTAAGCACATGTGTATGCATGTAGAGGCCAGATGGCAGCCTCGAGTGTCATTGTCTAACTTTTTTTTAATTGTTTGGGAGATTCAGCATAAGCATAAACATCGAGGTCAGAGGAAACTTTGTGGAGGTCAGTTTTCTTCTATCTTTATTCTGGTTCTGGGTGTCAAAGCCAGGTTCCCAGGCTTGAACAAATTCCTTTACCCACTGAGCCATTTCACGGGCCCCATCCACCTTAATTTTTGAGATGGGGTTTCTCACTGCACCTGAACTCACCAGCTGGGAGGCTGGCTAGCCAGAGAATTCCAGGAACCCACCTGTCTCTACCTTCCCCAATACTGGAATTACAAGAGGATGCCACTGATAGGGGTAGGAGGAGCCCCAACTGTCATCTAAGTGGACGTTGAAATGACTTTTAAAAAGGGGGTGAGTCCCTAGAGTGATTGAAGCAAGGAACAGGCTACCTTCGATGACTCACAGGCATCAGCCCCAGGGATGATCAATAGAAGCCACTCTGTAGCAGGACAGCTTTAGCAGAGACCTGGTGGGAAGGTGATGATCTCATCACTGTAACAAACAGAAACCCCTGCTCCTGGCTACAGTCCCGCCTTCAGCCAGCTCTCCGATGCTCCTTGGATGAGGAAAAGGGAGAATGAAGACTCACCAGAGACACTGAAACCTGAGAAGAACCTGCTCCCACCTTCACGACTGGGCAATGAAGCACCGGGGTCTTCTACTTCATCTACAAACAAGGAAACTACAGGACTTGCCAGAGATGGGAGGAACCACACACCCCGCCCCACCTCCCCGGGACTTGGTACAGCTCCTCACCAGCATCCGGAGATCCTGGAAGAGCTTAGAGCCATGACACTTTGTGACCTCACTACTAGGCACCTGAAGCCTGCTGAGAACTTAACACCTGGAACGCTGTCACCCTTTCTCCATCAGCTAGTGTCCTCTTTCTCTCTTCCCATTCAAGTGTCTATGCTCCCGTTTACAAGGTTCCCACGCGGTGAATCAAAGTCCCCGCTCTGCTCTCGGAAGGAGGGCAAGAAAGACGCGAACCAGGATGGAAACCCGACTGCCTCAGCATCACTCCTGGCTCTGTGCAGGACTGCTAAGAACGGAACCCAGCTCCTCACGCTGGAGCAGCAAGCATGGTATCAACCGAGCCACCTCCCCAGCTCCCTGAATCTTAATTCTTGACATTCTAAGCGTATGTTTCTCAGGAGAATTGCCTCTTGCCCAAGCCAGCTTACCACTGGCTCAGGAGTTCCCAAGAACAATTGACAGAAGAAAATGCCCATGACAAGCAGACACTTCTCATTCGATCTGATTCACCGACTTCCTTTATCCATTCAGTTCTCCTAAGACTATGGTCTTAAGCTCCTTGCTGCAAAAACTGCAAAGTCATGAGAGTTGAGTCATACAAAGTTGCCGGCAGGACTTGCCTGGCTCTGTAGGTGTGTTTGTCTTGCTGCCGTGCCTCACTGAAGACAGTTTAACTCCATGGCATGGCTCTGACCCCTAAGGCCCAGGGTGGGAACCCTGAGCCGTATCCAGCCCTTTTCTTTCTTCCAGGCACACTTGTATTCCCAGGCTCCTCTGAATAAAGAGGCCTAGGAAAGAGGAAGAAAAAAAAAAACAGCTCGAGTGCCTACGCAGGCGCAGAAACACAAAACCCAGATTCCACCGAGTGCACAGTGGGAAGCAGGAGACGAGGCTGCCCACCGAACAGATGCAAGTTTCCCGTGCTCCGGTTCAGCTGGGAGCGTGTGCTGGAAAGCGGAGATAAATCACGTGGAACTTGCTGTCATCCCTCTACCTTCCCGCTAAACCCTTCGACACCGTCACTTCCCTGGCTGAGGCCGCTGTAGTTTTTAAATGAAGGCTGGGAACCGGCTTTGGCAGCGCCGCCGCCTCATTTTTCCGCTAATACCTCTGTGAATTCTGCGTTCGCATCTGGCCGGTGCCATCATGCTGGGTATGATTATAATAGGCTGCTGCTCTTTCCCAAGCAGGAAGCTGGAGTCCTGTAACCGACAGCTTAAACAGAGGCTTGTTCCAAACACAACAAGCAGATCGCAGCCAGGGAAGGGGCTGCAGTGCGGGACTTCTCCCAAGGCATAAAAAAGGAGAGGGAGAGAGAGAGAGAGAGAAAGAGAGAGAGAAATGTGTTAACTGTGCTAACAGTGCCAAGTAATATGCTTCGTTAAAAATTTAATCACCTACAAGTGCAAAGCAAGTGCAAGGCAATCATGTTGTAATTAGCACAGCAATTAACACCTCCCTTTTCGATAGCACATGCATCCTAGGAAGGGCAGGATTGCAAGTGTTTATGCCGCTGACAGGCTCGCTTCCTACGGAGAAGGGAGGAAATGTCTGATGAGAATTTTGTGATTTCTGACATTTGGGTTCTGTGTCCACAAGAGCTGAGAACCCGCTGCCGTTTTGTCTGTGTGTTGAACATCACCAAGGTCCCTGTTTTACATTTTATCAAATGCTCCTTTCTAATGTCACCTTCCCTTCCACGGCATTAAGGTATACATAAATCTGTACCTATACATATACACTGAGACCAAATCCACCATGCCAATGAGCACTGTTGTGAATGGTTTTCTCTATCAAGAAAAACTGTCTTCTTTGGTCCTTTTATCAGAAACTAACCAGAAAACAAAACAGCAAGAAGACCTCAATGGGAAATTTGCCCTAAAATAATTCGTTCTATTGGACCTGAAAACTTGGGTCTCTCCTATACCAACAAGATAGGTCTGAGGACTCACATCAGCCCCTCAGGCAGGGGAGGAGTGCAGGGAAGCAGACCTTTCTGAAATAGCACACCAAGTTCAAGTCCAATAGCTGGCCCGGACAGAAGGTCGCACCCCTGCTCTCTGGTACTGACTGGAAAGTGCCTACTTACATGGCAGACAGGTATCCTGGAGAGCTCCTCAATGTACAGAAGTTAATGGAGGAAACCAATGGGAAGCTATAGTGAATTATTCTCAGTGCCCACTGGAGAAAGTATCTTTGGGGCTGGGAATATCACTCAGTAGGAGAGCACATAATTACCAAGCATGGAGGCCTGCGTTCTATCTTCTGCACATAAATACATAAATAATGGAGCCTAGGTTCAAACTCCAACATATATTAAAGAAAAAAAACACCACAATTATTTTTTAGCCAGTTATGGTAGCTCACATCTGCAATCCCAGCACTTGGGAGGCTGAGGCAGGGGCATCTGCACAAGTTGGAGGTTAGTCTGGGCTACATAGTGAGTTCCAAGCCAACCTAGGCTACAGTATAAGACCCTGTCTCAATGGATGAATGAATGAATGAATGAATGAATGAATGAATGAATGAATGAATGAATGAATGAATGAATGAATGAAAATTTTCAACTTTCTGATCTATATTTTGTCTCTACTTGGGCAGATGAAAGCATGCCTGGTCTGAGATGCCACTACCAGAAACTCATCCCAGACCTCCAAGGCCTTGGTGCTATTTCAGACATGAATCTCTGAGAATGGAGCCTAGGTGGTGACTTTAAAACTTCTAGAGTGTTTGAAAGGAGTTTGGGGTTTGTTTGTTGTTATTTTAAGAAATTTAGGAGATATCCGAGTATTGGCTTAATTAAGAATATAAAAAAATGATGGACAGTGGTGGTGCCAGCCTTTAATCCCAGCAGAGGCAGGCGAATCTTTGAGTTCGAGGCCAGCCTGGGCTACAGAGGGAATTCTAGGACAGCCAGAGCTACACAAAGAAACCCTGTCTTGTGGGGGCGGAGGGAACATAAGAAACACCAATGCTAGTCTTTGACTTGACTTCATCTTATTCTTACTGAGCATTGATGATGCAATGAATGTGTTTGGAAGAGCAGGGCAAAGCTCTGGAGTGTGACATTTGGGGAATGGGGAGGACAGGGCAAAGCTCTGGAGTGTGACATTTGGGGAATGGGGAAGCAGTTGACTTCTATAGCTGACTTTGTGAAAACACTGCTGGGATTTGAGACGTGGAAAGCTCAAGTTGTGAGTCTGGCTAAGTAACATTCCAGGGGGCTCCACAGGCTGAGAGATGCCGTGTAGGCATGCGTAGATGCTATTCACTTTCCTGCCTGGCTCGCTCTTTTTCCCAGCAATTCTTCTGTTCAAATGCAGAAGCCCAGCCCAGAAAGCTGAAAAGGAAAAGAAAAGAAACCTCAGTGAGAAGGAGACACGCTTAATAAGTGGGAGAGACTGTAATAAAACACACACACACACACACACACACACACACACACACACACACACACACACACTGGTGTGCCTCAGTAGAAAGCAAAATGAAATAATCCCTATTTCAAACACAGAGAGGACAAATGTCTTATTATGCTAAAAGGCCTCAAGTTGGAAAAGACAGTTCCCACAGTCATCATTTTATTCATTCCTACAAAAAAAAAGACATCATTCGTAAGCACTCCTTTAAATATTGCTGTAATTTGTAAAACTGGTTGAAATATCTGCTATGGGGTAGCCTTAATCCAAGGATGCAGAGGATACACTTCTGCATTTGCATTTATCTCTAATAAATACTTTGTCTGGGCTGCTAGGTTTTTATTTTCTCTTTTATCAACAAGGCTTAAATGCCAGTGACTTGAAAATTAAGTCACATTGCAACTTGAATGACCACATTTGTCATGCTGTATACTTGCTAGTTCATTCATTCACTCAAGAGAGCTCATTATATGTCAGGCATTGATCTAGGAGCAGGCACTACTTAGAGGATAAGAACAGACTAACAATATTAACAAAGAATAAGGACCCTAAGAGCCTCTCATGCCTCTGAAGCTTTCCTGCTATCGCATCCCCAGTGCCTCCCACAAAGCTTAGCATTCATTAAAAATAGGATGGATGGTTAAGAGCACTGGCTGCTCTTCCAGAGGTCCTGAGTTCGGTTCCCAGCAACCATATGGTGGCTCACAGCCATCTGTAATGAGATCTGGTGCCCTGTTCTGGCCTGCAGGCATACATGCAGGCAGAACATTGTATACATAATAAATAAATAAATCTTTAAAAAGAAAGAAAGAAAGAATAGGATGGATGGATAGATGGATGAGTGGGTGGATGGATGGGTTAAGTCAATCAATGATCAGCTGCTGTGGGATGTTCTGTATGTTAAATGTATTGCTCTGATTGGTTAATAAATAAAATACTGATTGGCCAGTAGCCAGGCAGGAAGTATAGGCAGGACAAGGAGAGAAGAGAATCCTGGGAACAGGAAGGCTGAGTCAGGAGATGCTGCCAGCCACCACCATGAGAAGCAGACATTAAGATACCAGTAAGCCACGAGCCATGGGGCAACTTATAGATTAATAGAAATGGGTTGATTTAAGATATAAGGTTGGTTAGCAATAAGCCTGCCACAGCCATGCAGTTTGTAAGAAATATACGTCTCTGTGTGTTTACTTGGTTGGGTCTGAGCGACTGCGGGACTGGCGGGTGAGATTTGTCCTGACCATGGGCCAGGCAGGACCAGGAAAACTCTAGCTACAATCAGCTCCACCCTAAACTGACTACACATACACACACACACACACACACACACACACACACACACACACACACGCTAACTGTTCAGTGAGTACCAGTATATTAATCCATCATCAATTACAACCTATGAACTGATAAAGTACCCTAAGAAAGAGACACATTCCATGCAAAAGGAAGACTAAGCACTCTCACTTTGAATGCTGACAGAGAGAATAGCAATCAAGTTATGATGAAGACACTAGAGAGCTCACTGTTGAAAAAGCTTGGTACTCCAAAGCAGAAATTATATTGGGGTATTGCTGGACAGGGAGTCAGAGGCAGATCCACACAGCCTTGAATAAGTACCTGCCAAAACCAGTTAGACCCAGACAGAGGCCAATGAAGGAAGACTCCTCTGTCTACATGTAAAACGGATTAGATCAGAAACAGACTGGCAGTGAGGAGACCTATTTGGAGGCTACTAGAACAGTTCAGACACAGGTTAAAGTTCACTTGAGCTAAGAAAGGGCAATGTGCCTGGCAGAAGCTGGCATGGGAGAGCCCAAGCCTGTCCACCCACACCTTGAACTCTCAGTGCTCGGCGGCTGGACCCACGGTCACAAACTGGAGACTCAGAAGATGGCATCGGGGGACAATAAGATAAAGATCACTGTTTCAGACTGTATCACTATTGAAGGTTGACTAGACATTAGGTGGTAAGTGAAGAACATTTAGAAATTTCAAACTGAGACACAAAAAAGAAAAAAATTAAAACAATAACATTTGGTTTGGGTTGAGTTTGCACAGACTTGTTTATGTTATCATAATTGCTCTGAGTTTATGTGAGCACCTCTCTGCCATGTCTGGGGGAACCTCCCCTGTATTCATTCACTGCCTTGGCCTTTCCCAGTCTTTCCATCCTCTCTTCCACAATGGTTGAGTAGGTAGGGAAGTGGAAGGAGGTATGGGAAGGGCTGGAGAAGAGAGTGGATATGATCAATTTTCAATAACTAATACAAAACAAAACTAATAAAAGTAAATCTTTTTTGAAAATGAATCTTTTACATATATTTTTGGCATCAGCCATGTGGCTAAAGTCATGTAGTTGAATGAGGAAGAAAAGAAAAGTGGGGCTAAGATCCTTGAAGAGAAGCCTAATGTGGTAGGAAAAGCAGAAGCCATCAGAAGAAGAGACTCATTCAGAACAATGAAACACAAGGAGAGGAGAATTCCCGTGAGGCCATGGTTCAAATGCTGTGGAGAAATGCATGACAAAGAGGGCTGAGAAAAGACCTGCCCACCAGGAAGTGATTGGCAGCCTTTGAGAATGCAATTTTGATAGCCTGGGGAGGCAGGTAGACTGACAGGGAGGCATCCGGAGTGGGGAGGAGGAGGACTCAGTGGAAGAGCAAGAGACACAGATGGTGTTTTCAAGAAGACTGGCTTTTAGAGGAAAATGTGGTCAAACACACTAGGAAAGAACAGGTCAAGGGTCAGTTTCTTTCAGACAAGTTTGCCTCCAACTGAAGGAGGCTATTTATCAATGAGGCTGAAGACACAGCGGATAATTGAGGAAACCAGTTTTCAGAGTGAGAGGAAATGTGATGGTCTGGAAACAACAGGGAGACTGTAACCCTGGAGAACAGAAACAGAATGTCTTCCACTGAGGGCACAGAGATGAGGAGAACTTGAAAAGAGACATGATATGAAAAAAAAAAAAAGAAAGAAAACAACAACAACAAAATCCACACGGAACTCTGAAGAGCTCACATCTTTCTTCAATCATGAGGTGCCAATTGGACAGATGAAGATGTAGACAGGCTCTCAACTCCCCCCACTGCTGAGTACAGCTAAGACCTGAGCTTGGATATCAAAACAACACACAGGACTGCAGAACAGACATAGTAGCTGGGAGCCTCAGAGCCCAAGCAATGACATGCTAGTGAGTTCAGCGAGTTTTCTTAAGAGATGTTTCCAACTCCTTCCCAGTTTTTTCCACTGCCAACCTTAAGCATTTATCCTGACGATTCATTTTACCTGGAATCCCAATTAGCTCTCGCTCCTGATGATCTTCCTGGTAGTTCTGCCCTATGGGCTATAAATCTTCACTTTTCCTGGTTTGGTCAATGTCAATCTCTCTCTCTTTCTCTGTCTCTGTCTCTGTCTCCCTCTCTCTTTGTCTCTCTCTCTCTCTCTGTCTCTCTCTCTCTCAACAAACCCCCACAGAGATAGCTGTTCTTGAATAAACTTTACCTTATTGTTCTTCAACATGCCCAAGTATAATTTTTTCTTTAACAAAACCTCACATGTGTCAACAATGTAAAAATGCGTTAGTTGGATTTAGAAAGCGAACTCATGAAGGAAGTTAAGCTGTCTATAACTTTATAGACATAAATTTCACAACCTAGGTGAAATGGACCAACTCTTTCAAAGAATGAACTGACACAACTCGTTCAGTGTAAAATAGACAATTTGTCCAGCCTTATAACCATTAAGAAAATTGAATTTGTGATTTAAATGCTCCCAAAAAAGAAATCTCCAGACCCAAATGATTTTACTGGTGAATTCTACCAGATGTTTCAAGAGAAATTAGCAGAAATTCTACAAATCACTTCCAAAACGTAGAAGAGAGGGAGTACTGTCCAACTCAGTTTATGGTTCCATTATTACCCTGATACTAAAGCCAAACAAAGACCGTTAAAAAAGAAGAAATATAAACTATAGACCAAGTACCCTCATGAACAGAGACATGAATGTCTTTAACAAATTGTTAACAAACAGAACTCAGAAATAATTTTAAAACTATATAACCTGGCCAATGAAGATTGATTCCATACATGAAAGGCCAGATCAGTGTTTGACTATCAGTAAATACAAACCACCATATTAGCATTCTTATGGAGAAAATCATATTGTCATATACATTGATAAGGGTAATATACACTGATAAAAGTCTTTGACAAAATTAAATAACAAAAATGCTCATAAATTCAGGAATAGAGTGAAACTTTCTGAAAATTGATAAAAACCATATCCTTGTATTTACTTGTTTATGGGTTTTATTTGTTTTGTTTTAAGCCTACCAATAACATTACATTTAATATAAAAAAAGACAATGATCTCTTCCCAAGATATAGAGCCAAGCAAGGATACAGACATTCTTCACTCTCACTTAAAACAGAGTAGGAAGAGCCAACCAGTGCAATAAGGCAAGAAAAGTAAATAAGGCCATACATATCTAAAGGGAGAAATAAAGCTATAGAAAAAAACTTACTGAAGACATGTTTTTATAAATTCTTGATAAATCTATGAAAGTCTCATCTAATCAAATTACTGAGTCAGCAAACCCATAGCAACAAGATAAACACACAAAATCAGTTGTATTTCTACATCCCCTCAAAGACTACATGTATACAAAAATTTAAATATGAGATCATTTACAACTGCTCAAAATATTTTTTAATAAAGCATGTAAATCTAAGACAACATGTACAGGATTTCTATGCACCAAACTACAAAGCAGTGATATGAAAAATCAAAGAAGCTATAAGTAAATTTAGAGGCCATGTCCAGTATGAATAATAGAGATGTCAACTCTCTCCAAATTAACACATAGAGTTTATAATTTGCTAGGGCTACTATAACAAGTTACCAGGAGTCAAATGGT